CACCTCTCTTCCCTCTCTCCCTTCCTCCCTCATTTGGGAGCACAACTGAGGCAGAATTTATCCCATATTAATCTACTGGTTCTTACCTAATGAATCAGTAGGCACAAGGATTTTGAATTAAGCAAATGAAGCAGAACACAGATTTTAAAACAACAAAATGCCCTGACTGCTCACAGGTGCAAGAGGGTACTTGGGTAAGTCCGTTCTTGCCCTTTCATGGCTCTTTTTTTTTGCATGAGAACTGATGTGGCAGACCCAGGCCCAACTGCTGTGGGAAGACCCAGAAACTGGAGTGACTTGGTTTGCAGGAATGCCTACTCTGAGAATCCCCTGGGGCTTGGAGAGGACTGATTAGCTCAGCAGACTCCCCATGATGTACCTAAGCCCGAAGTAGCTCCAGGCAATCCTGGGATACTACAGGCAGGTACAGACAAACCTGGACTTGTTCCACTTGGCAGAGTGCTGGGATAGGAAGGACAGGAGCATGGTGTGGATGGGAGCTGGCTCAGAGATGCCAGATCACTGCATTAACCCAGGGTTGAACCCAAGCTCCGCTCCAAAAATACTTGGCTTTACTCTGTACTAACACAGGTTTACGGCTTCCAGAGCTAAGCCTGTAAATCCATATGGAGAGGGACACTTCACAGATTGACAAACTCAGGTCTCTGGCAGTTTGGGAATTCCTTTGCTATCTTCTGTCTCATACTACAGGTGCCTAAAAACTGAGACAAGGTTTAGAGCAATGCCTAAATTGTGAAAGTAACCGAGAAAATTACCAGCTGAGTAACAACTGTGCAGTGGAACTGCATTTCACAGGAGTATATGTAGGGAACAGAAGTTTTAAGGCAAGTCCGAGAGAGCAGCTGTTTTCATCCTATTACAGCTCAACTCTGGGGCTGCTGAGCATTTTCTATAACATTATCTGAGCAGAGGCCAGGATCCATCAAGATTAATATGGCTTGTTTCTTGGCTTTTCTGAGCCATGGCTTAATGAAATAAACTGGAATAGATTGGACAGAGTTGGCTAAGTGCCCAACACAAGCCTCGTTGTCACTTGGGAAGAGTAGCAGGCATCAGTATGAGGCTACAGGCTTTTGCTGCCAAGGGTTTTATTCTATCGTTCCTGATTTACGGGGTCAGGCTTGGTAGGTAGCCTGGCTCTGCAGCTCCATCTCTTGGCAAACATCAGATATCAAACATATTGCACAGGCTCCACGTACTTCAGGCAGAGATGCGCAATAAATACTTTTTGGTGCAAAATACTCCTCATTTCCTTAGCAATAATGGAGGGACACACCTCTCACCTAAAATAGAAGGGGGAATTCTCTCGTGTACTTCCTTCAGTGTTTGTTATGTTATCAACTGTTGCCCTGGAAACAGTCCCCAAGTCAGAAACCAGCAACTGAGAAAGAAACTGGGCTTTGTGCGGAGTTTTTTTGTATTTTTTAAAAAAAATACATAATTACATTTTTTTAATTGTTACTATTTTTCAGTCATGAGAAAAGATTTAGCAATTCTTGAATAAGCATTTTTATCTAAAAAAGAATTTTGTCATCTTCTCTGATCAGCCAATTTGGCCCTATGATGGCTGATGTAATCATGATATACACATCTACACTGTTCTCCTTGTTTGTAGGTCAGTATGTCCCATGAAAAAAAAAGCTCACAAATTTGCAAACAATTATTATTTGCTGCACCGTGGCCTTCTGCAGCTTGTATGACTGATGATCTGATTGACATCTGTGCTTCCGAGTGAACCTTAGTGATTTATCCTAGTTGATAAAGTGGTTTTGCCATAAGTACAGGCTAGTCAAGACTAGTCAGACTTTTTCAGACCTGCTAATAAATCATAGTAATGCCTTAATCTGACCTGGATTAAAAGTATTTTAAAAATGGACAATACAAAAAAGTACAAAATTACTCAAGTTATCTTGTAACGAGTACAGATAAACTCAGGCTCTGGGAATGGAGAGGAATAACATGCAGATACAAAACAGTCTTGGACAGTCAAGTGACAAAAGATTTTTTCTGAGGGTTTGAAAATTAACAAAGAAATGGGAGAGTGAAAACGGTGGAAAGCAAAAGAAATTTAAGTAAATCAAGAGAGGAGCTTGGATGAGATACCAGCAAAGCAAGATGCCATCACAGCTGAATGCAGCATTTTCAAACAGAAGATGATGCTTTCTGAGAGGAAGAATACAAACTACGTTTTCTAGGTTCTAAATTTAACTGTCAAGAGTCAGAAAAACACTTGGTTGTCACTGTAGGTATTTTGCCATAGGTGTGTCATAGTGCTAAAAAGAGGAAGAGTTAGGAAGGAAAAAGAATGAAACAGGGAAGCAATACTGAAAATACTTTTTATCACCCAAACAAAGTGCATCTGGATCAGTTCTGGACACCTTGAGAAAGACAAAGCAGACATGAAAGGAGTTCAGAAATGGCAATGAAAATAATTAGAGGTATGAAAAGCTTATAGATGAATAGTAAAATCAAACCTTTTCACTTCAGAGAAGGGAAAAGATGAAGGTGTACAAAATAATGAATGGCACCAAAGAAAATAGGTCCCATTCATCATTTCCCACCATAGAGGAGCAGGAGGGCATCTGCTGAAAATGAAAGACAAGGGGTGAAGAGCAATCCTTTCCCATAGCATATGACTGCCTGGTGCAGTTCCTTCCCACTGGAAGCAACCAAGGCCAGGAGTTTGCAAATTAAAAGGGAATGGAAATGTGCGTGGAAAAAAAGACAATATGTCAAGTGCTAAAAATAAAGATGTGATTTGATTTTAATGGAGGCTACCTTCCAGTGTAGGCTGCAAGACATAAAGTGGTCTTTGAGGGTAGGCAAGAGCAAACTTTTTCCCCTCCAAGGAGATTCATCTTGCTCCAGCATTTCTCAGATCTTTCACTGCCAGATCTGGCCCTTTCCACTGCCCCAGAGAGGATGCTGGAGCAGATGCAGGAGTGCCTGTTTATGAAGCAGGTCCTGTTCTACTGCACCAGCAAATAGGAAAAAGCTGGGAGAAGCTAAATGTGGCCATGGGGAGACAAAAGCAGACAGAATTCACAAGAGTGCAAAAATGAAAACCAGACCCACAGTTCAGCTGAGTTCCCAAACAGCCAAATTTCGAGAGAGTGGTGTTCCCACTTTGAAACCAGCAGGGGAAAACAGAGAGAAGCCCTGAGCACAGTGCTCTTCAGGAAAGATTAATAAACTGACACAAGACACTAAAAGAAATTTCACTGTCTGTGAGCAACCCAGGAAGTACAAGGGTTGTACTTGTAGAGTACAGTTGAAGAGATGGCAGTTGTCCAAGAAAAGATTGGAAATGGTGTCTTCGCTCTAGAAAGGAACAAAGATACCTCAAATTTCCCTAACTGGTCTTATTTTCATCCCTGCATGCTCAAACATGGTAACTCATATTCAATTTACAGCTTTTATTGACAGTTTTCCTATGTTGTTGCTATAGTTGAAACACACCTTATGATAATTTCATTTTTTTCTTAGTGGCTTGGCTAAAACTAAATCTTTTTTGGCTTTTTTTTTAAGATATGAAATAGAAAAATGGGACCAATTTTGGCATATCTGCCATATTGCACATCTTTCAGCATACTCTGTGTTGAAATATTTGTTAAGGTCCGCTGTGTTGCTCTCAGGAATTTCACAACCAAGCAGGAGTGCTTTACCACTTTTGCAGATTCCAGCCAGGAGTCCCTCTCTCTTCATTGCCTATTCAGGGACTTGGGGTGGGCCAAAACTCTAACCTACAAACAAAGGTTTGTGAACGAAAAAAGGATGGTATAACACACACACGAGTTTTCAGTATTTCATTATTTCAGTATTTCAAAAATCCTAGTTTCAGCATGTTTCTCTTCAAAAGTAGCAGAGGTTCTGAAGTCTGCTATGACCGGAATCTGAAATGCAACAACTATTCCTTCGCATGTGTGGATAGCAGTCACTAACATCAGTTCTTCTCTACAGTTCTTTTGTTGTGCTATTTTAACTCCACTTCTCTCAGCTGATCTTCTAACACAGCATCCTCCCCAGATAGTGTGGTTAATTATACAGCCACTCTGCTTGCAGAGTTAAGCATATCATAGCTTTTTACACAACTATTTTTTTTCGAGTTTTTTTCCGAGAGTCCTGATGAAAAGATTCACTTGACGCCTCTATCCATGCATTATGTGTGTTCCTTTTTGCTTATTGACTTGAAATTCCATTGCATATAAAATCATTCATTTGCAAGTAGTGTTTCTTTCCCTTAAAGACACATAAAATATTACTTGCTAGTTCTTTCTTCCATAAAGGACATTTGAGGGCCGTGCAATTATTCTGAGATTTTCCCCATTTCTGCACAGGAGTTCATCTCTGAGTACAGCCTAAGAGGAAAGTCAGGCAGAGCAGCAAGGAAAAACAGCCAAGTACAGCCTGGGAAGAATTTTGCACACCTCTTTCCTTCAGTCCCTCAGCACATACTGACAGAAAGAAATACAGCTGAGAACATCATCAACGTGATCCGCTCTTTGATTTTTAATTTTTGTATAGACGGGCTGTTCCAGCGCACAGATAATGATCAGTAAGTTGATGAAGTTTTGCAATAACCAATATAAGTTTTGAACCAGTGCTTAGAATGGTTAGCATATTAACACACGCAGAGATAATTTGCTGTTCAGCACCGGGCAGGGAATATTAACCAGCCAAAATACTTATTCACAGACTTTTCACAATACAGTTCTCAGTCTGCATAAGACTTCAAGCCAGAGATAGGTACAAGGATTTCAGTGAAAAAAAAAAGTAAAGTCAAAAGTCTTTGAGTGTAAGCAGCTTAGAGTACATAAAATTTTTGGGACAGATGATGATTGTCAATGAAATAGAAAGGACAAGCTTGTCTAGATTATCATCTAGAGCTTAAGCTTCTCTGATGACACCAGTGCAATAAAGTATAAATATAAAACAAAAAAAATGAAATTAGTATATCTTCAGCCTCTGCACTAGCATCAGCTGGAACTGCAGAGGTGCTCTCATATCACTCGATTCTGCATCCCTGCTTCCTATAAAACAGATGATGTGCTTTCCTGGGTTTTTTGAAGTTCAGTTGAGACAGACATCTTGAGTTAAAAACTCAATCCAGGGAAGACCAAAATGATTGTGGCAGAGTGTGAGCATGTGCGTGAAACCTGAAAGAAAAAGCAGAGGTAAGATCCTTTCCATTGCTGCTCATCCTTAGGCTTATCCTGCAGGCACCCCACCCAAAGACTTGGCCTTGGCCTTGGATATACAGGTAACACAGGGTGGGGCGGGGGGAACAACTTTCTTTCCTACTCATGCCTTTACAAGTAGCAACTCCTCCAGCTGGACGACTTTGTATCTGCGTCAATTAATACAGCTCACCAGTCAGGGAACTTTGCATTTTGTGAACTAACACTTCAGTGAAATCCCTCTCATCTGAAGGAAGATAATTTACTTAGCCAAGCCAACTTATCTTTTCTAAAATAGAAAAATAGATCGGCTAAGCCAGAATGTAAATTTACAAAGTGATTTGGAGAAACTGAAAAGTACTTTAGAAAATCAGAAGGAAAATAAGAAGAGGGAAAATTATAATGTACCAATTAGAGCAGAATGTGAGCTGTCCATGCTAATGCAGGATTCTTGCTAATTTGTTTTCCAGGAGAGTCTTCAAAAAGATTGAAATTTAGCATTAGCACATCAGACTGGCCGCAAAAATGACAGCAACAATAATAAACAACCATATTTCAAATAGTCAAGAGAAAAGTTAGGTCTTTTAGGTTTAATAGCTCATATCCATTAAAATTCGTAGAAATGTCAATGGGATCACAGTTTCATTGCATTTTTGAAAATCAACAACCACTAGTCCTGTGACTACTGGTCAGGCTCATGAAAAGGTCTGACAAAAGTAAAAAAGAATGTGCTTGCATTTTTTGTCTTAGTTGCCATCAATTCCATTTCTGAATCCAAACAAGCATATGTGCACACATGCACACATCGATATACATACTTACAATTTTTCATAATGGCATCCTTGCTTCCATAAAAAAATAAATTAAAAAAAAGTGGTTTGTGTTGTTTTTCCAATGCAGAATATTAGTAAAAACTGAATTGGTTCACCCCTGGTAAGGTCCATTATATCCAGTGGCCCCTCACCTGCTCCTTTACCTCACTGCACCCTTCAGACCCACTGCAGCAAGCCAGCCCCCAGCAAAAGTTCAAAGCCTTATCACCTACCTGCATCGCTGAAAATCTGCAGCCCCGTGGCTTTGGGGGAGTTGGGGCAGCCAAGGGAAATGGAGGGACAGGGGAAAAACTGCTGTGTCACTGTGGAATGCTTGGCACCCCATTGCAGGGAGTGAGACAGCAAAATCAGCTGCAGTCAAGCCTAATCCTCACCGACAAGGGGGAGAACAGCAAAGAGAAAGCTGAGGAGGAAACAATGGGGATTTTCCCTTAGCAATAGTGATATTTGAAAGCATAAAAGTAAAAATTTTTTTGGGGTTGCCTGGACACCTAGCAAGAGTTGGGGATTATTTGTGCAGAGGAGTTCAGAAGAGGCTGCAAGCTCTTTGGGAGGATCCTAAACTGAGTGTAAACTGAGTAAATCTCTGGTCAGCTGTGAGAGGGAAGCTGCAGTGCTTTATTTTAGCTGAAAAGGGTTTTTATATACTTATAGGTTACTTGGGACCTCTGCTTATCCCAGTGACCATCTTTGCAGCAGCATTCAAGGCACCTGCTGTTTTCACCTCCTGCTTCTTTCCACAGACACTTTTATTTTCAATGTTCATGGTTGTTTTGCCTGCGAAATTCAGAGCAAGGGTACTTAAATCTTCTTTTGTGAGCCTCTCAGCTCAAAAGAAATACAAATAATAACAAAATACCCCAACCGAAGCTACCAGAAAGGCCTCTATCATTTCTACCTGTACCTTCTGGGGGTCCAAGGCACATTGTTCCTGCTCATTTTGTGGGACAGCCAAGCCCCAAAGTCAGGACCCAGTTGGTGACTGTCAGCAAACAAGGGAAACAGAAATAACAGGTTCTAAGAGAGGAATCAAGAGCAAGGGCCCCAAAACATTCACATATTGCCTGTTCCAATGCAAAGATGATCAGCAAAGGCCACCAGCAGGAACTCTGCCCAGATGTGTTAGGTAACTCCCTACTGATATGAATTGCATCAGCTTTCCACATACAGCTAAATCATGCCAGTGATTTTTTGCTGTCCTTGAAACTTATTAAAATACACAATAAAAGTGTTTTCCTTTTAATTTTTTTAGCCATTGTTAAAAATCAGATTGCCCCATATGTTTTATATTTTCAGGTCATTTCCTGGGATGGAGAATACCTTTGGGCAAAGTCTTTGTTTCCTTAAACTTAACCCAGCTGCACTATCCATACAGATGAACAGTTTTCAGAAATAAGGTACAGATAAGTCCAGCAGTAAGTACAGATCACAGTTTCTTTGCCACATAGAGGATGTCTTTCCTTGTGTAGTTTTTCAGTTTCAGTGTGCTTTGTCCTCAGTTTATGCACCATTTCCCTGTTTCTTCAGCCTTCCTTGAACAATCTCAAAATTTAGGTTAGGTAGCAACTAAGCTGGAAGATGGCTCTGACCAACCCTACCTGCACACATTTCTGCAAATAGTCTCCTGTGTTGAAAAATCTCTCCCCATTGGAGGGCAGCTTCCCCTCAGCAGCAGTTCATGTAAAGGGATTTTGTGAAGGGCCAGAGCATCCTTTATGCAACCCCACAAAATCCTAGCCGGATCATGCCACCATGCATCAAAAAAAGAGAGCAGGATCGAAACAGCACCTGCCTCACGCTGCTTTTCTGCCTGGAGAGAGGAGACAGCCCTGTCTGTGAAGGGTGTGGGTGGGAGAGAGTGAAGGAGGCAGGTGCCGCTGAATAGGTCAGGCAGGCATGCCGAGGGCTGTGGCCACATCCAGCTTCCTCCATTTACTTTAACTCTTGCTCCTTCAGAGGGGATGGGAAAAGCAAACCCTGGAGAGGAGCTGGCAATAACAAGGCTGTCTAAAAGGCCACCTTGGAGGAAATTGGGCAGTCTCCACCTCTACCCCCTGCCTTCCACCCACACTCCCTTCCCACTACCTCTGCCCCCCACGTCCTCCCCGGGCCTGCTAAAGGATTCTTATTTACACACCTTGTTTTCCATGAGCCGCCTTATTGATGTCCACAGCCCTTCCGTCCTCAGAAAGGTCTCCTCAAAGTGACTGATGGTGTTGTCACATGCTATCCCTTTTGCCTGGAACTGCACTTCCATGGCTCTGAGATGCTTCAGCCTGAGCAGTGGCTGAAAGTGAAGAACAATACCCCATCTAAGCATCATGTAAAAGGCATCTGATTCAGATATGGAGAGAATGGGGACAATAAGTCTAAAGGGTTTTGGAGAGGCAGGGGGCAGATGAGGACCAGCAGCTGGAGGGAGAAAAGGCAAAGAAGATCAGGAGGGCAAAATGGAAGATACAGGTTTGGAGACTAACAAGAAAATGAGGAAAACAACATTCAGGGGGAGTAGAATTGGAAAACTGGGATTGGCTGAGTAGTGAGAGCATGAAAGAGCAAAGCAGGGGATGGTGTTCAGCAAAGGAATAGGAAGAGTAATGTATAAATAAAATATGGCACGAGAAGCACAGAAGCCTGGAGAGAGCCAAGAATGCAGAGCAAGCATGTGGCAACAGGAGAGAGCAAGAAGTGCAAAGCAGCAAGCAAAGAAAAAGTAGAAAGATTAAAGCAAAAGTTTTGGTACCTGAGAGGTATTGAGGCTCTCCTTTTTTTTTTAATTTTCTGTCCAGAAATGCCTATGGAAGTTTCTGACAAAGCATCCCATATCTCTCAAAAGCCATCCCACAAAAGGCAGCTGGCAGCTGCTCTCTGCCATCTACTTCATTTCGCACCCAGCATCAGTTCTGCAGGGAAATTCACATTTTTGTCCTGGCTGTTAGCATGTCCACAGGTATCAATAGTATTATAAATCTACGGGTTCTCTTTGCTTTTTAGAAAACCAGGCTTGGTAGCATAATGTAACCCTGTGGAGAGAATATACGCTAGGAGACACAATCCGCAAAGGACTCTGCTCCACTTACCGAGTTCCCTTCTTTTTAAGATACAAGATATCAAATTAAATATTTGATCCAGTGTAAAAAATCCCAAATGTGTTCCTCTTAAATTCAAATGTGGAAGAAAATATTTTGATTTTATTCTTCTGGAGGAAAAAACAGAAGTATTACACTTCCAGAGTGACACAATTACACTTCCCAGACGGGTTTCCAGCTAAAAACAAAACCCATCAATGAACAATTTAGTTTTCTTTAAATGGCATTTTCCCTCAATAAATGAATAAACTTACTTCATTTTTTTACCTCAAACTTTCTATTGTTAATCTGTAAAGCACAGTAATGTTACCCATTCATCTTTTTGAGATGTTATGAAAGTAAAGCCATGGGAAGCACTCAGTTGCTATAGTAATTGAGCATCATAGGAAAAGGCCAATGAGGAAACAAAGGATTTTGGGTTAAAATCAAGCATGAATTGTATGTTAACCTTAAAAACCACATAAAAAGGTGAGGGGAAAAAACATACTGAGGCAAAAATTCTGAAAGAATAAATATACCATGTGTTGGCATAATTAAAGGCTCTATGGCTCACACATATACTTCCTTTCTGACATTTTCTGAGAGATTTTTAGGTGACTTGGCAACCAGAAGAATGTTTTTATTAGTTGATGGTTTGTGTGTCAAACTCTATTTGATTTGCTTTATATGAGTAATTTAGTCTCTTACCTGGATACTTGAGGAAATTACGAAATTGCAAGTTCTTTTTCCATTAGACTAGTACCTCATAAATATGTCTAAACTATACTATATACCTATATCTAAAAACACTTAGGATAAAACCCTTGCATTTCTAACCTTCGTCCACAATCTATTTCTTCTGCTCTGGAAGTCTTTCTTTTTATCACCATTTTATTCCACTCTATCTTCAATAAAAAAGAAATGCTTCCTAATCACAAGACGTGATGGAGCTTGCTACATTTTGCTTGGGTGCTTAAGAGCATTTGGCTTTGTGCTTTGCATCTAACAACGCACCCAGGTGAGCTGCTATTGGACAGGGACTTAATCCCTGTCATGTTTAATCACTACATTAAAAGATTTAAAGACTAATGTTAAAGACCATTCAGTTTGGGCACCATAGACCTACAGGATGCAGTCAGGAAAAGCCACTCGGTTTATCCTGGCAAAATCTATTATAAATCTTTAAGAACAAAAGCCAGGAGAGCTGAGAAGGAAACTCCTTTTCTGTGAGACCCCCTCCCTGTGACTCAGACATCCACCCAGAAGCCCTGGGACTTCCTGCAAGTTTCATATATGAAGTGTCATTTGCACCATTTACTTAAATAGCTGCACTGAATGGTTAGCACTGATGTGCTTCTGTTCTGCATGACACCAGTAAGAATGTTATTAGGTCAATATTGAAAAAACCATCCCTCCTCAGTGCATAACCCTGTGCAGTGAGGATGACTCATCTGCTCCCCAGTGCAGAAAACATAAGGGAGCCATTTTACATTCCCTCAAGAATTTGACCCCCAAATATAAAATCCCCTGCTTGGATCCTACAGTGTTGCAATGTGATTGCAAGGAGCAGTAGCTGGGGATGTTTCTGCCTGTCCAGTTGGCTAAGGAATTAGAAGTCCCTCTTGGAGGTCTGAACATTTCTACAATTCCCCAAGCGCTGTTACTCTGTGCAACTCAGATCTCAGGCAGCTGCACATCCAGGTTTATCCCCTTGGGCCACAAAACTCCGATGTTGCATAAACTCCATTGGCTTCCAAATTCGGTCCTCTGGTCCAAATCCAGTACTGAGTATTTTTAGCCTAGTAATTCATCAGCTCAAGGACTCTGATGCTACACAAGAACTATGGGGCAAATGCAGTGGCTTCTGCACTGTGACACAAAGTCTGGGTCCCTCAAAGTCCAGATGAGGGGGCTGATGGAGCCCACCAAGGATTCTTCCTTGAGTTTCTTACAGGTTTTCTTCCTGTGGAAAGCAGGGCAGGCAGTATGGGAGGACTGATGCATGCTGGCTCACTCCCTGATGTGCTGTCAGGGTGCAGGTATCACAGTTCAGAGCCATCCTCATAGTTACCCAGATAGAGGCCTCATGTCTCAGAGGATATACCATTCAAACTCACTTTCCCTGTCAAAGACCAAGTCTAAACAACTTCAGAGGATGCTTTGAGGATAATTTGTTTTTTAACTAGACCATTTCCAGAGTGTTATTTAGAAGGCCAGAGAGCTTGAAGGGTATTTTGGTCCTTTAGCTTGTACTTGCTTACATGTGCTACTTAACTTTGCTACTCCTCTTATAT